TCCGGCAACTGCAGCCATTTGGGGAGTAAACCAGTAGATGGATGACCTTTCTCTCTGTTTCACTCTGTCTGTAACTCTACCTCTCAAATAAATAAAAAAAATCTAAGAATTAAAAATTTTTTTAAATATCCTAAAATCAGGGTAACTCATTCATAACCCCAGTTTTATTGTGGAACTCCAATGCCCATATGAACTAACTGGCACTAAACAGGATCTCCGTAATGAACTAAGAGTTAACACTTAAATGACATGCTCAATAAGTGAGGTCAGAAGACATCTCAGGGGTAGGTCTTAACCACTAAGTTAAGACACCTGTGTCCCATGTGGAAGTGCCTGGGTTCAGGTACTTGCTCTTGTCCTGACTCCAGCTTCCTGCTAATACAGACCCTGAAAGGCAGGGTGATCGCTTAAGTAACTGAGTTCCTGTCATCCAGTGGGAGATCTAGATCGAGTTCCCAGTTCCAGGCTTGGGCTCCACTCAGCCCTGGCTGTTATGTGCATTTGGGCAGTCATCAGTGGATAGGAGCATGCTGTCTCTCTTTGCCTTTCAAACAAATACATGAAGAAATAAATTAAAAAAAAAAAAAAAACCCATGCAGATGTTTTATTATAATGCAGACAGAAAAAGACAGCAAGAGACAAAGTTATCAGATGTCTCAAAATAGAGCTACTACCAATTGCCAAGAGAGCCAATAATCATGGTTACCATTTTCAAGACTTAACCTTGTGGCAGGAACTATCCTAAGTACTTCATATACAGCATATCAATTAATCAATTAATCTCCCCAATCAATTAATCTCCCCAATAACTGTATAAGGCAGGTATCATGGTCTTAATTTATAGGAAAGGAAATGAAATCTCAAGGAATGATCTTCCCAAGGGTGTTTATGAAATGCTAAGGTAGGATTTGACCCATGCACTCTTACGTCACACTACTCTCATACTGTGTAATCTAGGTTGTGAGCTGGGATTCCGTCAGAACATAATCATCTTTCAGACTAAACACTAACTTGATTCCAAATTGGTAACATTATCATTATAAATGTACTTCTTTAAAGAGTTAAACATTAGTAGTTTAGAACTAGTTTAATGTACATATACATTTATTTTCTAGAATGTATTTGTTTATTTGAAAGGAGGAGAGAGAGAGAGAGAGACACCTCTCATCTGCAAGAACAGACCCAAAATACCTGCAACAGCTAGGGCTGTGGACTCAGAAGCCTGGAACTCAGTCTGGGTCTCTCATGTGGGAGGCAGGGGCCCAACTACTTGAGCCATTATCTGTTGTCTCCCAGAATACATGATACACATTAGCAGTAGATCAGAAGAGGAGCCTAGACTCAAACCCAGGCACTCTGACATGGGATGCAGGCATCCCAAGCAGCACATTAACCACTGAGCCAAACAACTGCCTCTGTGTATTTATTTCTGTAATTATAACAACAAGTAAGTGAATGCTGGACTTGCTAAGAAATTGTCTTTTCCTCTCAAATATATAGAAAAATTTAATTGTTCTTTAAAAAGGGTGCATTTATCATCTTAATTTCAAAAATACCACTCAAAGATTGTAGGTGATATATCAAGGTATTTATGTAAGTTTTAGGATAAACAACGCCTATTTTCTGAAGCACTAGTTTCTTCAATGTTAAATTAATTCCTTTCACACTGCAATAAAATGTCCAGGAAAATGCAAAATATGCATATATTCAAAGACAGCTTATGAGCCTACAGTCAAGTATTGTTGAGGAAGGGTTAAAACCCTCAAGTAATAGATTTTTTCTGCCCTTATAGGTGCTCTGGAGAGAAGAATTTGAGAAGCTTTGCCAAGGTCAGAGATTTAATTCAAATAGGGAAAGGAAAATTAAATATTTAAAAATTCCCTGAGGTCAATTATTTCTTTTCTTTGTTAAAAAAACATCCCTTGGGGTGGGGACTGTAGTGCAGTGAGTTAAGCCACTGCCTAGGACACCCACACCCCTAATTAGACTGCTGGTTCAAGTCCCAGTTACTCAGCTTCTGAGGCAAATTACTGATAATATACCTGGTAGGCTACAGCAGATGGCCCAAGTATTAAGGTTCCTGTCACCCGCATGGGACACCCAGATCAAGTTCCTGGCTTCAGCCTGATCTAGGTCCAGCTGTTGCAGACAGAAGGTATTTCTTTCTCTCTCTCTGGCACTCTGCCTTTCAAATAACAAGTCTTAAAAAACTAAACAAGAGTCCAGTGTTGTGGCAAAGTGGATTAACCCAACACCTGCAATGCCAACATCCCATATGGACACCAGTTCGTGTCCTGGTTGTTCCACTTGTGATCCAGCTCCATGCTCATGACCTGGGAAAAGCAGTGGAAGATGGCCCAACTGTTTGGGCCCCTGTTGCATGTGTGTGTTGTGTGTATGTGTGTGTCCAGAAAAGCTCCTGGCTTCAGCTGGCTCAGCCTTGGTCATTTCAGCCACCTGAGAAGTGAACCAACAGAGAGAAGACTGATCTTTCTCTCCTTCTCTCGCTGTAGCTCTTTCAAGTAGCTCGGACTTTCAAATAATTAAATAGATCTTTAAAAACAAAAGAAGCACACATACACACAAACTACCCTTGGCTTCAACTACCACTCCACCATTTTGCTCCTATTCAATTTCAATACTTTCAAGTACTATCAACAGATGTTGTTTCCTCACCTCCAAATTTCTTTTTAGCAAAACATCTCAACCTTGAAGTAGCATTATGAAGGTTAGCAATAGAGCCTGGCATGGTGGTGCAACTGGTAAACAGCCAGCATCCCACATGAGCTCTAGTTTGAGCTCCACTTGCTCTACTTACCATTCAGCTCCTTGCTAATACACCTGGGAAAGCAGTGGAGGATGGCCCAAGTATTTGGGCCCCTGCGTCCCATATGGGAGACCTGGATGAAGTTTCAGGTTCCTGACTTCAGCCTGGTCCAGTCCTGGTTGTTGCAGCCATTTGGGGAAATGATTCATCAGATGGAAGCTATCTCTAACTCTGCCTTGCAAGTAAATAATCTTTGAGGTAAAAAAGGTCACTAAAACATTCTTGAACTTGAAGTAACCAATTTTATCTTTCTCTTCAGCAGGGTAACATAGTCTCTCCACCTTTTTACTTTGGTTTCCCTAACACTCTCCAACTTTTCCTTCTACACTTCACCTTGCCACCTCAGGCTAAATCTTCTTTGTGGATTTCCCTCCTTTCTTCACTTAAAATCCAATCCAACAATGATTCCTGTCCCTTTTATTCCTCAGGGGTGCTCAAGTCCATTGCCTTCTTCTACCTGCACAATACTATTCTAGTCAAACCCAGCATTTTCTCTCCCCTAATCTACCACTAAAACAGCCTTTTCACTGCCTCCCTCCCTCTTTCATTTTTGTCCCATTCCCCACACATTGTTCACACAGCCAACAAAATAATTACTCAAAAATATCAATTATATATCCTTTTGCTTATTATTTACCAAGGACTAACTGCAACACTACATATAAAATCTAAACTTCTAATCCTAATTTGCTAAATTCTCCATCCTCTAGATCCCACAGATTTCTCTGATTCCTCCCCAAAATTCTCCCCATTCCCATATTTTAGTCATAATGGTCTCTTTCTGTCCTTCAAAGATGTCTACTTTATCATTCTCACCTAAGACATTCATTTAATGTTCATTTTTTCTTGAAATTCTTTTCTGCTCTGATCTTACAGAGCTGTTCCTTGTTATTCAGATTACCACTCACACCTCACCAGACAAGTCTTTTCTGATTATACAACCTCCAGAAACCAGTCTTTACAACAGTCCCTCATTTTAATTCTCTATATAGTACATATTGTTAGTTGGCATTTTTTTGCTTTGAGTACTGTCAATCTTGCCTACTAGATTACAAATTCCATAATAAAGAAGGCCCTTATCTGTCTGATTCACCATCATATCTCCAATACCTACATCAGTGTCTATTACATAGCATATTCTCAGTGTTTATTTTATGAGCAAATAAGTAGACCTAAACATGTGGAATGACAGTAAACTTGACCTAGCTTCCCATCCTCTAGCCTCCTACTCCAGAGAAAAATTAATAGGTCTGTCTTAGTCCAGACACAAACACCAGACGAAGGAAAAAAATGATCTGCAAGTGATCTGATTCCTGCAGTTGAGAATACACTAAAAATTGTATGCATTAACCAACAAGTTGCTACTCAAAAACTACTGTAACAAAATACGTCTCCTAGACACACTTCAGACACCATCAGAGGTCTTGATAAACAGACAGCCTACCCACAAGAAGCTTACAGCTGGTGCCTAGCAAGCAATGAAAAGTTATGTTCCATAACCACCAACACACATATTAAATTACCTGCTTTGGGAGTAGAAAAGTTGGCCTCAAGTTTACTAAAATGAACAGCAAATAAGAGTACTTCACTATTTTATATCTAGCTATTGTACATCCATTTCTATATAAGATTTTAGGTGCCCAATGCAAGTTTTCTAAGACTATGTTACTACTTTAATGTGATGGATCTTAAATATCTAAATCTTAAAGATTTAGCCCCATGGAAAGAAGTATGTACACACATGGAAATATATTTTTAAAATCTGAAATAAAACTAAACACATAAAAGGGAACATTAAAACTAGAACCAGTGGTCCTAGTGTTCTCCTCCGGTTTTGAAGCACAGATCTCACAATAATTAATGTATTCTTAAGAATTTCAGTATCAGGGACTCTAGTATTCTTAATATTAGAGTAACAAGAAACAATTGCATGAAAAATAAGTAAGACTTGAAAATTCTTGTCACATTAGCACTTTTCTTCAGAAAAGCGTTATCTATCTCTTTGGTTTGACTTTGGTAAGTGAAATGTTTGTTTGGAAATACACAATTTGCAATTGTTTTTGTTTAAAAAAATAAACTCCAAACAGAAGTTCTGAAAAATCTCTGTTGTTTCAAAAACAAGTCATTGTTTCAAACATACAATATGCAAAAATGAAGTGTACAGGAAACATACCATTCCATAGGCCTGCTGTTGAACCCAGTTGATATAATCATTCCTTATGTCTATTAATTCTTGTACTTCATGTATATAAAATTTATCATACTGTATAATCTGCCCCGTTTTCTCATTTACCTATGGAAAAAATATAAATATAATTAACATTAACTTCAGCACCTAAAACAGAAATTGAACTATATTTAAAAAGAAAAAAGCTTTAGAGATTTCTTAATTTTCTCCTATAAAAAATAATTACTGAGTGCCTACTATATGCAAAATGCTAGTTAAGTGCTATGGGAGACACAAAGATTTTTAAGATGTGACGTTTCCAATTATTACCCCAAAATCCATTAGAAAAAAAAAATGAAGAAATGTCTTTATACCACAATAAAACATGAGCTATGTAACATTAAAGTGTAGTACACAGAAACTAGAAACCATTAAGTACTTCTGGTTGGGAAATGGGACCTAATTAACAATAATTATAGCTAATGCTTGTTAAGTGTTATTCTGTATCTGGTATCATTAGAATATACAAGGCAATATGTAGTCAAGATAGGAAAATGAAGAGGGTGTGATTACTAACCCAGGGATTATTTACTAATTACAAAGGTAACTAATAATTCTTTAGAGTACACCACCTTATCTAAGTGATCAAATTAATTACCAATACTGGTACAATGAAATACTGTGATTGCAGAAATAAAATACAACAGGAAGTATAGACACCATTTTCGAAGAAAAAAGGTTTAGCCCTAGTTTAATCAAATATCTTGATTTAAACTCAGTTCGCAGGAAATACAAGGAATAAAGAAACAAATTGACATCACCACGAGGAAACAGACAAATCCTGATTATGGCACATTTACAAGAATGGGCAAGATTCTTTTAGAAAGTCAATATAAGGAGGATAAAAAGGTGGGAGTTACTCTGAATTAAAAGAGCCAAGAGGAATTCTGGTGCTAGAAATGGTAGAGTACTTTCTACAACAATAATCAAACTCTGTATCACATATTTGAAAAAACTGCTATTTACAAACATTGAGATCAACCCAAAGTAGTGAAACAAGAATGGTTACAATTTTTTAAACAAGGAAAGTATATGTGAGGTCCACATTTTTTCCCATCATGGGGTGGTGAGGGGGGAAGAACCACAGAAAGTAATCCAGAGGGTGAATCCCCAAAATATTTGTGAAAGTTCCCCTTACGTCTTTGCACATGAGATTTGGTTAAAAAGTAAATTTCAAAAACCCAACAAATCAAAATAGAGCAGGTGGGAGGCTTTTATTAGAGCTCAAGACAAGCATTTCCATAGGAAAAATGGCACAATACATAATGATAAAAGGACTTATTTACCAATCCCAAAAAACTGAACTTCAAAATACATAAGGAGAAGCTCATAAGCCTCTATGATAGTTGGAGATTTTAGTACTCCTCAACTGATTCAACCAATTTAAACTTACTGACAAAGAACACTTCACTAAGTAACTGCACATGGCATATTCATTAAGAGAGCCCATATTCCGGTCTTAATAAACACATTTATTTATATATAATTAAAAGAAATTTTAGCTTATCTAAAGGAAATAAAAGTACACAAAATATATTCTGTCAACAATGGAATTAAAAACAAAGATATCTGCAAAATCCTAGAACATTTTCAATTAAATAAAAATACTTCTAAAATACTCAAAACTTCTTAAATCAACCAGAAAGCTAAAGTCACAAAATAACCAGGCAGCATGAACACTAAGGATAGACAGTTTCTTTTTTTTATTTGTTTTCTTAAGATTGATTCATTTATTTGAAAGGCAGAGTTACTGGTAGAGGCGGGGGGTGGGGGAGTGGAGTCTTCCATCTGCTGGTTCACTCCCCAAATGGCAGCAAAGGCCAGAGCTGAGCTGATCCAAAGTCAGGAGCCAGGAGCTTCTTCTGGGTCCCCCACAAAGGTGCAGGGGCTCAACGACTTGGGCCATCTTCTGCTTTCCCAGGCCATAGCTGAGATTTGGATTCGAAGCAGAACAGCCGGGCCTCGAACCAGTGCACATATGGGATGCTGCAGGCTACTGCTTTACTCGCTGTGCCACAGCTCCGGCCCCAGGCTAGAGAGCTTCTAAAAAGGAACAGGATGGGGGCTGGCACTGTGGCGTAGTAGGTAAAGCCACCATCTGCAGTGCTGGCCACTGCAGCATTTGGGGAGTGAACCAGCGGATGGAAGATTTCTCTGCCTCCACCTCTCTGTAACTGCCTTCCAAATTAAGAAGAAAAAAAAAAAAAAGGGCAGGAGTGGGGAACAGGATGTCAGAACAGTCCACCATGGGAGAGTAAAAGGAAAATACTAGTCATACAAGAAGAATCAGTGAAAATTTTAAGAAATTACTTGAGGCAGAATGTAGGGCAACTGGAGAGCACAGAAGCCCTGGGAGCCCCAGGCAATCAATCTGCAGGTAGACTCTTTCAATAGACCTCCATCCATCTACTGGGTGCCCACATACAGCAAAACCCATAAGCCACTAGAGAAAGGGAAGCAAACCCCATGCCATATTGAAGGAATATGAATTACTACCTGGAAGAAAGAGGGGCAAGAATTGTCCCAGGATTCAGAATCTTGTATCACTAAGACTAGAGACTACCTATTGCTAGAGATGGCAGCAATGGCAGGAGGAGCAAACAAACTTGTACAGAAGACACAAAAGGATCCAAAGCAGAGTTTGGCTGCCACAGGCAACAGGGGCATCATGAACTCTGAGAAAGTCCTATCCTGAGATCCAGGCATACATTATCTACCAAAGACTAAGGCTACACTATAAAACAAATATTTTCTGGAGCTGGCATTGCAGAAACAATCATTTATCTCAAGAGATGGGAAAAGAACATCAGACAAAATTCAACACCATTCATAATAAACACTTTCCATACCAGGAATCGAAGGGGACTTCTTTTAATGGATAAATAGCATCTAGAAAGAAAAAGGAAGAAAAGAGAAAAGAAAAAAAAAAAAACCTCGGGGAGGCTTACATTGAGTTCCCAGCTGCCAACTTGAGCTTAGCCTGGTCCTGGCCACTTCAGGCACATTAAAAAGAAGGAAACCAGCAAAAGGGAGCTTGCACAGTCTCTCTCAAATAAGTTAAAAAAAAAAAAAAAAAAAGCTTTTAAAAACCCTCATAGATATTATCATACTTAACTAGTAAAATAGTGAATTCTGGGGCCAGAGTTGTGTTGCAGTGGGTTAAGCTGCCTGCAACGCCTGTATTCCCCATATGAGCACGACATCCAATCCAGCTTCCTGCTAATGTGCCTGGGAAAGCAGTGGAAGATGGCCCAAGTGCTTGGACCTCTGCGCCCACATGTGAGACCCAATGGATTTCAGGGCTCCTGGCTTCAGCATGGTCAGCACCAGCTGTTGCAGCCATTAGAGGATTGAACCAATGGATGAAGGATTTCTCTAACTCTGCCTTCCAAATAAATACATTAAAAATACTAAATGCTTTTTTTAAAACACCAGGAAGTAGGAAAGGATGACCACCATAACCATGTATATTTAGCACTGTACTGGAAATCTTAGTAAAATTCAGCAAGAAAACAATAACTTTGCATTTATTAAAAATTCAAATGAATCTTTAAGAGATCAGAACTAATGATTTATCAAGACTGCAAGGAATGGGGCTGGCACTATGGCATAGCAAGTAAAGCTGCTGCCTACAGGGCCAGCATCCCATGTGGGTGCCAGTTTGAGTCCTGGCTACTCCACGTCCAATCCAGCTTTCTGTTTGGCCTGGGAAAGCAGCAGCAGATGGCCCAAGCCCTTGGGTCCCTGTACCCATGCGGGAGACCCAGAGGAAGCTCCTGGCTTCTGGCTTTGGATTGGTGTAGTTCCAGCTGCTGCAGCCAACTGGGGAGTGAACCAGCAGATGGAAGACCTCTCTGCCTCTTCTTCTCTGTGTAACTTTTTCAAATAAATAAATAAACCTTAAAAAAAAAAAAAAAAAAGGAACACGGGGAAAAAAGATCAAATGATCAAAATTCAACTGGATTTTTCTGTATCAGCAAAAATAACTGGCAATAAAAATTTTAAAATTATCATTTGTAATACATCAAAAAACAAAACATTTAGGAATAAACTTTTTTTTTTTTTTTAATTTTTAAGGAGTCGGGAGGCAGAGAGAAATAAATAAACCGAGGATTCCCATCCACTAGTTTACTCCTCAAAAACCAGTAATAGCCAGGACTGGGCCAGACTGAAGCCAGGAAATGGAAACTCAATCCAGGCCAACCACATAGGTGGCAGAGACCCAATTACTTGAACAATCACTTCTGCCTCCCAGGGTACACATTAGCAGTAAACTAGAATTGAGAGTACAACCAGAACTCAAACCCAGGCACTCCAATATGGTATGTGGGTATTCTAATCAGCATCTTAACAATGATGCCAAATGCCTGCCTTAGAAACAAATTTTTAAAAAGATGTCTGAAAACTATAAAATGCTGAAAGAAAATAAAAATGTCTAAATAAATGAATATGTTTATAGATTATAAAAGAGTAAGATTCAACAAATGCAATTAAACCAAATTTTGACACATTCTAGTTTTTAAAAAGCAATGATATTAAAATATTTTTGATATTTAAACGTGCCTGGATAGCTAGAGGATACTGAAGAGCTTTAGTTAACTTCTTTAAGAGACGTAATGGGACTGATGTTATCTAGAAAAATGCTTATATATGTCTATGTGCATAGCATGTTGACAATGTTAAATTGACAATGAAGGTGTACAGGTGTTTATTATATCTGTTTCTCTAAGATTGAAGATATCATAAATAAAAATTTAAGAGGGATGTAAGTGCAAAATGTTTTTAAAAAAAGGTTTGAGGAATAATATTCTAGTCAGAGAGAAGAGCATGAGGTAAAAGGAGACAAAATATGTATATACTTGTCCCAGCTAAAACTACTGGTCCAAGGAGAATGAGAGGAGCATGGAACAAAAATGGACCCAAGATGCAGCTTGAAGCTAAGTCACACACAAACCCTGTGAAGATCAGCCAACCTCAGTTAAGCCTCATGCTGAACAGAACCAACTCTAGAAGAAATGAGAATAAATGCATATTACTGTATGCCAATAAGTTTTGGCATGTTTTCT